TGTCGCTCATTTCTTTGTTGTCATCTGTGTAAGTTCCATCTCCCTTTCTCAGGGGCTCAATACTAGATGTAGTTTTTGTTCTAAATTTTGCACATGGGAAAAAAATATTTCGGATTTCTCTCTGTTTCGCTGATGGTATTTGCTGTCTCAGCCTCTCCTGGGTTGTATATGATTCTTGTACACCATTTGTCTCATAGCGAGGAGGTCTGGTCGAGGTCCGGGGGAGGGGGGGACGTAAGTCCCGAAATCATCGTAAGGTAACCGCAAGGTAAGGTTATCTTGAGGTTATCTTGAGATGATTTCGGGGGCCTAGTGTCCCCGCGGCCCGGTCCTCGACCAGGCCTTCACCCCCCAGGAAGCAGCCCGTATCAGGTGACTAACTCCCAGGTACCTATTTATTGCTAGGTAACAGGGGCATCAGGGTGAAAGAAACATTTACCCCCATTTGTCTCCGCCTCCACCGGGGATCGAACCCGGAACCTCAGGACTACGAATCCGAAGTACTGTCCACCCAGCTGTCGGGTGCACTACACTATTTTCTCGTGATTCTTGTAGCTTTAGTTCAATCGTTTGTTTCTCTACATCGCCTTCTTTGTCGTTCATGAGACAGGGTGATGGGGAGCCGGTCGGCCGAGCGGACAGCACGCTGGACTTGTGATCCTGTGGTCCCGGGTTCGATCCCAGGCGCCGGCGAGAAACAATGGGCAGAGTTTCTTTCACCGTATGCCCTGGCAGTAAAATAGGTACATGGGTGTTAGTCAGCTGTCACGGGCTGCTTCCTGGGGGTGGAGGTCTGGTCGAGGACCGGGCCGCGGGGACACTAAAGCCCCGAAATCATCTCAACATAACCTCAAGAAGGGTTAGGTTAGGTAACCTAACCTAACCTAACCTTCTTTGTGGTTCTTGAGATAGTGTGGGGCGGTCATGTTGTTCTGCGATTCGTTTTCTTCGTGTATAGAGGTTAGGTCGTTCTCGGTCTAGTCTGCATCTCTTCCTCTTTTTTTCTTAGAGGTCTGCGGCTTGAGCATCTTTCTAGTGCCACCGAGTTTATTTTCTTGAGGCACTGGTTTAGGTTTGCATTTCCTAGCTGTTCTTCCCAGCTTATTTATATGAGGTCTTGGTTTATTATTTAAATTAAAGTTGCTGAACTTTCCTCCTAGAATTTGAGACTGGCTGTGCAGGTCTCTTGCCCCGTGCTTGTTTGAACTTTAATTAAATTGTGATCTGAGTAACAGGTATTTGTAATCATTATGTTCCTGATCAATTCATCGTTATTTGTGAAAATATGGTTTAGTGTTATCTTTCTTGTTGGGTTTACTATTTGCTGGTTTAGTGTAAATCTGTCGCACCTCCGTAGTAGGTCATGTGTGTGTGAGTGTTCATTTAGGCCAGTTCCCAGTATTCTCTCGGATGTAACTGTATTTGCTACGTTCTTCCATTGTAAGATGAAGTCGCCAAGCAAGATGTTTGGGGCTGGATTTGTAAGTTTTTCTTAATAGTATTCTATTTTCATTAGTGTGTTTTTAAACTGCTGAGGATTTGCCTCTGGTGACTTATATACAAGGACAATAAACCACATTTAGGACACACAGAACTCACACTAACGTGATGCATCACATGAACAAATCCACAAGGGGGATTTGTTCACATTTAGGACCTCTATTTTGATTATCAGCACTTCCACCATATCGTTTGTGGTGTTTAGCAGCTGAGGGTGTCTTTGATGTACAGGCTGACCCCATCCTGTAGCTTGTGTTTCTTGACACACCTGAAAAGATATTTATCCATATTTATCTCAGGTATCCATATTTCACTATCACAGTAATCTTTTGTGCGAGTTTCAGTTAGGGGGCCACAGACACTGCGTTTGCCTCATTTAGGAGGCAAATGCCTCTTAAATGGCCTCCTAAATGTTACCTAGCAATAAATAGGTACCTGGGAGTTAGTCACCTGCCTACGGGCGGCTAAATTACAAATTGTAATTTGTAATTTAAGATGCCAGCAATAAAGTGAACTTAGTGTGATTTGCGGGTTTTTATACACTGAATGTTGGTAAATATAAATGATGTTATGTTTGTGGAAGTGTTGGATGTTTTACTTGGTGTTAATATCTGGAGGGACCACAAGAATGAGAGGAAATGATAAACCAACCAGACTTGATCTGGTATTCACCCTGAATGAATAGAGGGTGAATACCCCTCTATTCATTCAGAATAGAATGTCAGTCAAATGAATGAAAGTCAAATCATATGATTACTGATTTGACTTCCATGAGGGAAGTCAAATCAGAACCCCCCCCCCATAGGGATGAGTGACCCCAGTGTCCTAATATTTTAGTATCTGGAGGAAGTAGTATTAACTCATCTAAGGAACGAACCGAAAAGTAAAAGGCTGGAATACGAAGGGGAACTATGATGAGATTAGAAATTTGTAATAGGAATACCATGGGAGACAGAACTGAGAGGAAAGTCTGTACAAGGCATGATGTATGAGTGATGGGTGATGAGACGTCATCCAGAAGTGTCAGGAGGCAGAAAACAGGTTTATCCCGGTCCAGAAATAAAAAGCAAAAGTGGGGTCCGTGGTTCAAGCAGGCATGTAAGGAAGCAAGGCAGCTAAGCACAAGGACATGGAGGAATTACATAAATAACAGGACACAGGAGGAGGAGGAGGAGGAGGGAGATAAGGGAGGAGGCCATATATATGGCCAGGTGTTCCTTCAGAGAGCAGAGAGAGAGATACCAGAGGGCCAGAAATGGGGCAAAGAAATGGGTACCTCAGTGTAAGGAGAGAAGCAGAGAGGCAGTTTGAAAATGACACAGCAAATAAAGTCAAGACCCAATCAAAACTGCTATACTGCCACATCAGGAGAAAAATAACAGTGAAAGAACAGGTGATGAAACTGAAAAAGGGAGTGAATGGGTACACAGAGAATTATAAAAAGGTGTGTGAAGAACTCAGCGAGAGATTCCAGGAGGTTTTCCACAATAGAGCAAGAAGTCCCTGAACTAAGAGGGCTGGCGATAAACCAAGCAGACTTGGAAGATATTGAAATTAACAGAGATGTGGTTAGGAGGTATTTTCTCGATCTAGACGTGACTAAGGTTCTTGGACCTGATAGAGTCTCACCATGAAGGCTAAAAGAGCGGGCAGAAACTCTTTGCATATCACTATCTATGGTGAATAACAAGTCACAGGAATCAGGAGACCTACCAGAGAGTTGAAGGCAGCTAATGTAGTCCCAATACACAAAAAGAGGGATAGGCAGGAGGCCCTATTCAGCCCCAAGTCAGTCAGCCCCAAAGGTGATTGAGAAGATCGTGAGAAAAAGCCTGGTAGCACATCTGGAGAGAAGGGACTTTATAACACGTCACCAGCATGGGTTTAGGGAAGGCAAGTCGTGTCTCACAGGTTTAATAGAATTCTATGATCAAGCAACAGCCATTTAGCAAGAAAGAGAAGGATGGGCAGACTGCATTTTCTTGGACTGTCAGAAAGGTTTTGACACAGTATCTCATAAGAGACAGTTGCATAAGTTGGAGAAACAAGCTGGTGTAAGTGGTAGGGTGCTCCAATGGATAAAGGAGTACCTAAACAACAGGAAGCAGAGAGTTACTGTGAGGGGGTGAGACATCAGACTGACGTGATGTCACCAGCGGAGTCCCACAGGGTTCTGTACTTGGAACTATCTTGTTTCTGATATACGTGATTGATCTTCCAGAAGGTATAGACACATTCCTCTCAATATTTGCTGATGATGCTAAAATTATGAGAAGGATTCAGACAGAGGAGGAAAGCAAAAGGTTACAGTATAGCCTGGACATTCTGAAGGAATGGTCCAACAAATGGCTACTAGAGTTTAACTCGAGCAAGTGCAAAGAGATGAGGATAGGCGTAGGGAGCAGAAGGCCAAACACAAGGTACCAACTGCGAGAGGCAATCCTTCAGGAGTCAGAAAGAGAGAAAGATCTGGGAGTTGATAACACACCAGATCTCTCCTCTGAAGTTCAAATCAAAAGGATAACATTGAAGGCGTATGCAAGGCTGTCAAACATAAGAACTGCCTTCAGAAACTTGTGTAAGGAATCATTCAGAGCCATGTATACTTCATTTAACACAAAACGAAGTTAGAAAAAGTTTAGAGGTATGCCACCAGGCTAGTCTACGTGTTGATAGGAATGAGCTACGAGGAAAGATTACTGGAACCCTGGAAGACAGAAAAGTTAGGGGAGACATGATCACGACCTATAAAATTCTTAGAGGAATTGATAGGGTAGGTAAAGATTAACTGTTTAACACGGGTGGTATGCGAACGAGGGGACACAGGTGGAAACTGAGTACCCACATGAGCAACAGAGATGTTCGAAAGAACCTTTTTAGTGTCAGAGTAGTTAAGAGATGGAATGCATTAGACAGTGATGTGGTGGAGGCTGACTCCATACACAGTTTCAAGTGTAGATATGATAGAGCCCAATAGGCTCAGGAATCTGTACACCTGTTGATTGACGGTTGAGAGGCGGGACCAAAGAGCCAGAGCTCAACCCCCGCAATCACCTAGCAGTAAATATTTAACTGGGAATTAGACAGCTAGTACGGGCTGCTTCCTGTACTTACCTAGTACAGGAAGGTGTGTGTGTGTGTGTGTGTGTGTGTGTGTGTGTGTGTGTGTGTGTGTGTGTGTGTGTGTGTGTGTGTGTGTGTGTGTGTGCGTGTGTGTGTGGTGTGTGTGTGTGTGTGTGTGTGTGTGTGTGTGTGTGTGTGTGTGTGTGTGTGTGTGTGTGTGTGTGTGTGTGTGTGTGTGTGTGTGTGCGTGCGTTTGCGCGCGCGCATGAGCGTTGAGTAATGTTGTGTGAGAGGATATGGTTGAGAGGGTGGGGTGGGGGGGGGGGGTTAGGTGGGGTATAGGGGCGTGCCTGGAGCGAGACTACCCCCCCTACCCCCCACCACCCACATCAGTGGTGGAGGGAGTGCCAAGGGTGCCAGCCCCACAGTCTAGTCGTGCTGCTGCCACCGTCGCTGGCACATCTCACTCCTGCAGCCGCCAGTACTCGCCACCTGCCTGCCTACCCACTTGCACCTGTGTCTCGCTCCAGTGTCGTCTTCCCTAAACCACACAGACTCACCTTCCATTGCACATGTGCTTCTCTGAAACTGGAAGACATAAATAATTGCCAGTTACCCTTCAGGTCGAGTTTCCAGCTGGTCAAACACCTGCCTGGTATAGCCCTGTTATTCCCGACGGAAGTCCGCCGCCGCCGCCGGTGTCTCCGAGAGCAGTGGGTTACGAGAGACAAGTGGTGGACGACCCACCCCATGTGACATTCAGATGTGTGGTAGCGTTGTCTGTTGTGATAGACAAGTCGAACAAGCCCACTGGCTGGTGCTCCGAGCTTGCAACTACCATCAACACAACCGCTAACTATTCCTCTCTCAGGAGGCACCACAACTGCATTTTTAAGTCATAAAGTAACAGTGAACGACCACGAGATTTTCATCTCCACCAAACCAGCAACACCTCCTGACGTCTTAAGGCCACTGGCAGGCTCGTGGCTCTTCTCATTACATATACAACATTGTAAACGCTAGAATAGCAGAGAGTAAAGTCGGTGTGTCGTGCAGGTGTACATGCTGGTGCTCGAGCTGGCACCAGCACCGAGGAGCACCTCAACAACTGCTCGGAAACACTCACACTAGGAGTGGAGGACCAAATAACACAGGCCGTGACCACGACACCAACGGCCTGCGTTTCTTTCCACTTACTAATCGCTCTAATATACTCTACTTAATGCCTCACTTAATGGAGAGGAATAAAGTACGTGAGTGGTATATAAAGTATATTTTCTGTGTACTGGTGTATTGTGAACGAAGTGCAGTAATTTGTACCGAGATGAGTATCCAGTTGTAGAGAGTGTAACTCACCACTGCTTCATGGTGGGTGTAAGCTCCCTCCTGCTGTACTCTAGACTGTAATTGGAAGAGTAAGGGGAGAGAGAGTGTGTGTGGTGAAGAGCACAGAGTGTACCAGTGTGGTGCGTTGTGGTGCCGCGGCCAAGACCCCTGAAGGCCACACTGTTGCTATGAAGCATTAACTCGCTCCACACATACCCACACAAATACTTTTAGTGTTTTATCCCCGCCTGTGTTCTTAGTATCTCTCAAGCGTTAAGTGATATTTATGGAGCTATGTAAGTGTTGATATCAGCTGAGACAACTTCAGGAGATAAGATAAAATGCTCGAGATAGCGAGGAGAGCCGACTAAGGTGCTCCAGAAGTGTCATACACTTCATCTCTGCCATACAACTTTTCCACAATACAAGTCTCGCAAAAAGCACTTGTTGTGATTTTTTTGTAGCGCGTATCATAGAGTTCCTTTAGTAGTGTGCTTCATAGAGTTGCTCTTGAGAGTGGAACCTCTTGTAGCGTGCATCATAGAGTGGAACTTTCTGTAGGGTGACACCATAAAGTAGAACTGTCAGTGTCACTTAAAACAGGCACTCTCATCAGTGCTAGAGGTCTTCACGCGGGCCCTGGAGCAGGCACTCTCACTTAACACGCACAGACCCGGGTCCAGTCGCCACACCAAACATCAAGTTACTTAGTGTGTGAAGCGGAGAGTGGTGACTGAGGCAGGCACCGGCGTCAGAGCTGGTGCGGGGAAGTGTGTCGTGTTGGGCGTTGTGGAGTGAGTGTGGAGGACTAGACACAGGTGCCGTGGGAGGCAGGCGCCATACTAGACACAGGTGCCGTGGGAGGCAAGCGCCATACTAGACACAGGTGCCGTGGGAGGCAGGCGCCATACTAGACACAGGTGCCGTGGGAGGCAGGCGCCATACTAGACACAGGTGCCGTGGGAGGCAGGCGCCATACTAGACACAGGTGCCGTGGGAGGCAGGCGCCATACTAGACACAGGTGCCGTGGGAGGCAGGCGCCATACTAGACACAGGTGCCGTGGGAGGCAGGCGCCATACTAGACACAGGTGCCGTGGGAGGCAGGCGCCATACTAGACACAGGTGCCGTGGGAGGCAGGCGCCATACTAGACACAGGTGCCGTGGGAGGCAGGCGCCATGATACACACCACAATGAAGCAGGAACTGGAAGACTTCCTCACCTTCACCTCAGACTCGCCAGACACCCTGGTCAGGGAGGATGTGATGATCGTCTCATCTTCACAGTGTTTGGTAGGTTCACCTTCATGTTCTTCTCCCTCCCCCTACACCACCCTCATAGACAGCCGCTTGCTCGCCCCTTATTCTACTGTCAGTGGCACTGTTATCTTCGTCGGTGGCACCAGTGCCTCTCTTAGTGACGCTGGGGCCCTTCAACAGTGCCACCGCTGGCTTTAACAGTGAAAACTATTCCTCATCAGTGAATCATGAACAGATTTCTTATACATGTCACTTGCATTATACACTGCACCTACATTACACCTGTATTATATATTGCACACATATTATACCTGAAAGTGACAACTGAACATTCACTACACTTGCACCTACATTACACCTGTAACTATAATATCTGAACATACATTACCACCGCGCATGTATAACACCTGCGCATGTATAACACCTGCGCATGTATAACACCTGCGCATGTATAACACCTGCGCATGTATAACACCTGCGCATGTATAACACCCGCACATACACTACACCTGCGCATGTATAACACCCGCACATACACTACACCTGCGCATGTATAACACCCGCACATACACTACACCTGCGCATGTATAACACCCGCACATACACTACACCTGCGCATGTATAACACCTGCACATACACTACACCTGCGCATGTATAACACCCGCACATACACTACACCTGCGCATGTATAACACCTGCGCATGTATAACACCTGCGCATGTATAACACCTGCACATACACTACACGTACACATACATTACATGTATACAGGTGTTAAGAGCACTACAAAAGAGTGGCGGTAACCTCCGGCGCAGCTCACGTTGCTGGGCCCGTCAAAACGTCCCCGCGCCCGTCAAGACGTCCCCGCGCCCGTCAAGACGTCCCTGAGCCCGTCTAAACGTCCCTGAGCCCGTCAAGACGTCCCTGAGCCCGTCAAGACGTCCCTGAGCCCGTCAAGACGTCCCCGCGCCCGTCAAGACGTCCCTGAGCCCGTCAAGACGTCCCCGAGCCCGTCAAGACGTCCCCGCGCCCGTCAAGACGTCCCTGAGCCCGTCAAGACGTCCGCGAGCCCGTCAAGACGTCCCCGCGCCCGTCAAGACGTCCCTGAGCCCGTCAAAACGTCCCCGCGCCCGTCAAGACGTCCCCGCGCCCGTCAAGACGTCCCTGAGCCCGTCAAGACGTCCCCGCGCCCGTCAAGACGTCCCCTGAGCCCGTCAAGACGTCCCTGAGCCCGTCAAGACTTCCCTGAGCCCGTCAAGACGCCCCTGAGCCCGTCAAGACGTCCCTGAGCCCGTCAAGACGTCCCTGAGCCCGTCAAGACGTCCCCGAGCCCGTCAAGACGTCCCCGCGCCCGTCAAGACGTCCCTGAGCCCGTCAAAACGTCCCCGCGCCCGTTAAGACGTCCCCGCGCCCGTCAAGACGTCCCTGAGCCCGTCAAGACGTCCCCGCGCCCGTCAAGACGTCCCCTGAGCCCGTCAAGACGTCCCTGAGCCCGTCAAGACGTCCCTGAGCCCGTCAAGACGCCCCTGAGCCCGTCAAGACGTCCCTGAGGCCGTCAAGACGTCCCTGAGCCCGTCAAAACGTCCCCGCGCCCGTCAAGACGTCCCTGAGCCCGTCAAAACGTCCCCGAGCCCGTCAAGACGTCCCCGCGCCCGTCAAGACGTCCCTGAGCCCGTCAAGACGTCCCCGAGCCCGTCAAGACGTCCCCGCGCCCGTCAAGACGTCCCTGAGCCCGTCAAAACGTCCCCGCGCCCGTCAAGACGTCCCCGCGCCGGTCAAGACGTCCCTGAGCCCGTCAAGACGTCCCTGAGCCCGTCAAGACGTCCCTGAGCCCGTCAAGACGTCCCCGCGCCCGCCAAGACGTTCCCGCGCCCGTCAAGACGTCCCCGACGCCCGTCAAGACGTCCCCCCCCGCCCCCGTCAAGACGTCCCCGCGCCCGTCAAGACGTCCCCGCGCCCGTCAAGACGTCTCCGCGCCCGTCAAGACGTCCCCGCGCCCCTCTGCTCTTCACAAACCTCCATCATGAGTATTTATACATGTGTTTAAACAGAGAACAAAAGTTGTTCTCCCGTGCCTCTTCTGAAGACGTGCTTACAATTATTTATCTATACTACCACAAAATTGGCACCCCCTCACAGAGAAACTTTTGTACCCCCACAGAGAAGCTCTCGCACACTCTCAGAGGACCTTGCGGAACCCCGCGGAGAACCTCTCTCTCACGCCACACGGAAAACTTCTGGCATTTCTCACTCCCGTAGAGAACCTCCAGCGCCAACAGGGCCTTTCACAACCCCTTCCCTACAGAGGGCCTTCCTCACCCCCCACACAGAGAACCTCTCGCACCCCTAGACAAGTGACTTCTTAGCGCAAGTGCTAGCTCAGTCGGCTGAGGACAGGATTGGTCCTGGGTGGGGTTCCAGGGCACCGCACGATGTTAAGGAACATTTTCTTACGTCTGATGCCTTTTTTGACCAAACAGTAAATACGTAACTGAGAGTTAGTAAACCGTTTTCTTTGGTATTTCCGACCGCTTATCAATTTTATTGAGGCAAATCTAATATAAACATCTGTAACGTGTCCAAAACACATGTGCCCGTCAACACGTCCGGAGAGGGAATTAAAATATTTATTATATAATTTAAACAATACATGCAATTGGGAAACAAAATATGCAGCCTTTCTGGAAAACAGCATTAAATCCTCAAACATCAACATATTGTATAGAGACTTTAAATGCAGAAGTACTAGTGACTACCTTGTGAGGTTCAGGATTCAATGGTCCCGCGGCCCGGTCACTTATATGACACCGGTGCTCGCAGCCTGACGTATGACGCCGTGTGTGCCTATGTAAGAAGATAAACCAAAACAAAGAACATAGATGAGAATATTACAAACCATATCATCAAATTAGCAGAAGACACAAAGATTTATGGTACAGTGGGAAATGATAATAATATTGAAGCCTAAGAAAGAGATCTACAGGCACTCCACAAATGGTCAGAAGACTGGCAAATGCTTTTTAATATCGACAAATGCAAGACCTTGCATGTGGGGCATAACAACCCACGCCACAACTACCAAATTAATAACATTACATTACAGCAGATTGATGAAGAAAAAGAACTTGAAGTCAAAATCCAGCACTCACTAAAAGTTGCACAACCGGTGGGAGCAGCAGTCAGAAAAGCTACCCCAAACCCTTGGAATAATCAAGTGTACTTTTGACTATAAGGAAAAGAAGGTAATGATTCAACTGTATAAATCTCTGGTGCGCCCCCATTTGAATTACTGTAACCAAGCATGCAGACCTTATCTCGGAAGGACATAAGGCGTCACCAGTGGAGTCCCGCAGGGGTCAGTTCTTGGACCTATACTGTTTCTGTTATTTGTAAATGATCTCCCAGAGGGTATAGAATTGTTCCTCTCATTTTTGGCTGATGCTGCAAAAATTATGAGGAGAATTAAAACAGAGGAAGATAGTATGAGGCTACAAGATGACCTAGACAAACTGAACGAAAGGTCCAACAAATGGCTACTAAAGTTCAACTCGAGTAAATGTAAGATAATGAAACTAAGGCGGTGGAACAGGAGGCCAGACACAGGATACAGAATGAGAGATGAAGTCCTTCATGAAACGGACAGAGAGAAAGATCTAGGAGTGGATATCTCACAAAACCTGTCTCCTGAAGCCCACATAAAAAGAAAAATATTTGCGGCATATGCGAGGCTGGCTAACATCAGAACAGCGTTCAGGAACCTGTGTAAGGAATCATTCAGAATCTTGTACACCACATATGTAAGACCAATCCTGAAGTATGCGGCCCCAGCATGGAGCCCGTTTCTTGTCAAGCACAAGACGAAGCTGGAAAAAGTTCAGAGGTATGCTACTAGACTAGTCCCAGAACTAAGAGGCATGAGTTACGAGGAAAGGCTGCGTGAAATGCACCTTACGACACTGGAAGACAAGAGTAAAGGGAGACATGATCACTACCTACAAAATTCTCAAGAGGAAATGACAGGGGTAGATAATGATAAACTGTTTAACACGGGTGGTACGTGAACAAGGGGACACGGGTGGAAACTGAGTACCCAAATGAGTCACAGTAACGTTAGAAAGCACTTTTTCAGTGTCTGAGTAGTTAACAGTTGGAATGCATTAGGCAGTGATGTGGTGGAGGCTGACTCCATACACAGTTTCAAATGTAGATATGATAGAGCCCAATAAGGTCAGGAATCTGTAACACCAGTTGATTGACAGTTGAGAGGCGGGACCAAAGAGCCGACGGGCTCAACTAGGTGAGTACATAGCTGCTCTGGAGAAAGTGCAACACCGAGCAACAAAAGTCATTCCAAAGTTAAGTGATCTTCCGTATCAGGAACGGTTGAAGGCCACTGGAGTAACAACTCCACAAACCAGGTATGACTTGGCGGATCTCATTTTTACTTTTAAAATACTGAACAAGTTAAAGGATGTTGATCCGGACAATTTCTTCTAAAGGTCAGATGTAATACAAACAAGGAACAACGGTTTCATCCTGTCGCTTGTACCCAGACGCAGCTGAAACTTGCTTAACTGTCTCAAATGAACAGGTTCTCAAACAAGAAGATTAACATTCGTCAGCCCTTAAAATCTTACGTTATCTTGTGAGTGTAAAATGGGAAAATCTTTTAAGAACAATATCCATATTTGACAAATAGTATTTTCCTAACTTAAACAATGTGGGGTTTATTATTCTACACATATTTCTAATGTCTCTCAGTTGTTCACAGTCTCGTAGATAGTGGTCAAGGCGGTGTCCATCACTCTCACCACAGATTCTGCAACTCCACTGTTCAACTGTTGTTTCCATTCCGAATCTCCATGGATATTTGTATCCAAGACAGATTCTTGCTATTACTGATTCTCTCCCGCGGCCACCTCCTCTTCGGCCATAATGATTGGGATTGCCAGCAGCAACCATGTTGTACCAGCGTACAGATTCACTGATTTGTTCTTCTATCCTCCTTTCCTCAGTTACCTTGTCACGGTGA